CCTTACCCCCCTCCTCCCCCCCCCCTACCTCCCCACCCCCCCCACCCCCATCACACGCAGCTGCTGGCCTGGCCCACCAACCCACCTACCTCCACTGGGGACATTCTGATGCCAGACTTGCTTCTTGGTCTCCTGTTGTGGGGTATTTGCACAGGGTCAGGGCCTCACCAGCCCCGCCCCCCAGCCCCATTCTAAAGCTGAGTCTGAGGAAGGGCTGAGGCCTGCACTGGGTCCTCCATGATGCTTCCTCTCTGGGCAGGAAGCCGAGAAGGGGCGGCTCAGATACCTTCCTTGACCTCCCCATACAACCCCCCAGAACAATGCCCCCAGCCAGGCAGGGCTTCCTGGCCCCTCCCTCGGGATCCCCCCACCAGTGATCTAATCGTCCGTGCGCTCCCGAGGGCCTGTGGTTTTCTGGTTCGAGCGGGTGGAAGCTGTGGGCAGGACGAGGGAGGTGACATGCCCTCCGGTGCCCACAGACCAGTCAGCCTGAGGTCCTGAGGATCAAACTGGAGCTGGATGGTGAGAGTCACATCCTGGAGCTGCTACAGAACAGGTAAGAGTGGCAGTGGTAATGACAGTCACAGAGCGAGCAACTTCTGTGGCACATGCTGTGTGCCAGCACCTAGCCACTAAGGGTGGCACTCGTGGAACCCTCATCACTACCCTGTAAGGTAGCTACTGTTGTGCAGTATTGTCTCATTTTATGTGAAGGAATCAAGGCACAGAGAGGTTGAATAACTTGCCCAAGGTCACACAGCTAGTAGATGGTGAAAACCTGATGGGAGTGGGGGGGTCAGCAGGTGGTTTAGTGGTTAAAGCGTTGGACTCCCCCATGGTTCAAGTCCCAGGCCCACAGGCTTGAAACTCAACTGGTCATGTGTGTGAGTGTGTGCTCAAAATCCTGAGAGAAGAATGGAGGAGGAGGAGTTGCAGCATGACCACCCCTCAGGAGGTGATATCTCTCTCTCTCTCTCTCTCTGTCTCTTCGTTTGGCTCACATGCCCTAAAGCAGAAATCTCTCAAAAAAAAAAAAAAAAAAAGCCCACAGTGTTTACAGTGAATATATTTGTACCAACTGTGTCTCTGCCTAGATTTAAAAAAAAAATCGCAGGGACCAGCAGTTAGCGTAATGGCTATGTTGCTGGACTCCCACGTGGTCGACCGCAGTTCGCATCCCAGACCCGGTGGCTTAAAACTCACGCCAGGCGCGTGTGCGTGCATGCCCAAGATCCCGAGAAGAGAATGGAGGAGAAGGGATTGTGGCATGACCATCCCCCCTGGGGGGTGATTTCTCTCTTTCTGTCTCTATGTCTCTCTCTGTCTGTCTGGCGAGCACACGCGCCCTATACCAAAAACCTCTCCCCAAAAATAATCGGAACCCAGGTGGCCTGGCAGAGTCACTGTCCCAACCACTGTATTCTGCTGCCTCAGGGAAAAGTGGGAGGCTGGAATTTGCTGGCCCCAGTCTCCCTGCTACCACCTCTGGGGCTCAGCTTGTCACCTGGTAGGTGGCACAGACACTGCCCTCCTTTTCCTTCGCCCCCTAGGGAGCTGGTCCCAGGCCGCCCAGCCCTGGTGTGGTACCAGCCTGATGGCACACGGGTGCTCAGTGAGGGCCACACTCTGGTGAGTCAGGCCCTCTCATGCCCTGTTTCAGCCTTGGGAGAGGGAGAGAGGGGGCAGCTGGAGGAGGGTGTGGGAAGCTTGGCATATCTTTACCAACAAGCTGGACTCCTGAGTCCAAACCTGGCCGACCCCGCCAGTGGGCACTCGCGTTGTCTCCACGGTAGGAGAGCTGCTGCTACCAGGGACGAGTGCGGGGCCACGCTGACTCCTGGGTCTCCCTCTGCACCTGCTCGGGGCTCAGGTATGGTGGTCGGACTCCATGACGGGGAGAGAGGGGAACCTAGTGTGTAGCTGGCTTCTCTCACTTCCTGTCTCTTTCCTCAGGGGCTTGGTGGTCCTATCCCCAGAGAGAAGTTATACTGTGGAACTGGGGCCTGGGGACCTTCAGCAATCTCCCATTATCTCCCGGATCCAAGACCTCCTGCCAAGTCACACCTGTGCCCAGCGCTGGCATGCATCTGTGCCCACTCAGGCTCCACCTGAGCTGCCCCTGCAGCAGCCCCACAGCAGCAGGGTGAGGAGGAATGGTGGGAGGCCTGGCTTTGGTTGTCTCGCGGGCTTGCCCCAGACCCTCAGCTCCTGTTTGAGGTAATGACAGCTTCTGCTGAAGAAGCAATTTCCATGTGCCAGGCACTTGTCACTTACTGAGCCAGCAACCCTGGGAGGGAGGTGCTGTCCGTAGCTCTATTTTAAAATAAGGATGGGGCCAGCAGGTGGCGTGGTGGTTGAGGTGCTGGGCTCCCACATGGTCAACTGCGATTCGAGTCCCAGACCTTGGTGCCTTGAAAATTATACCAGGCACGTGTGTATGTGCGTGCCCAAGATCCCAAGAGGAGAATGGAGGAGAAGGGATTGCAGCATGGCCATCCTCCATGGAGGGTGGTTTCTTCTTTTTTTCTTTTCTTTTTTTTTTGAGAGATTTTCGCTATAGGGCGCATGCGCTCGCCAGACAGACAGAGACACAGAGACAGAAAGCGAGAAATCACTCCCCAGGAGGGGTGGTCATGCCGTAATCCCTTCTCCTCCATTCTCCTCTCGGGATCTTGGGCACGCACGCACACGCGCCTGGCGTGAGTTTTAAGCCACCAGGTCCAGGATGCGAACTGCAGTTGACTACATGGGAGTCCAGTGACATAGCCATTACACTATCTGCTGGTTCCCATGGAGGGTGGTTTCTTACCACCACACCCCCTGCCATGTCTCTCAGGTGAGAGCACAAGTCCTCTTATGAAACTGAAAAAAATAAATAAATAAGGGAACTGACTCAGAAAGAGCAGGTGACTTGCCCAAGGCCATACAAATCATAAATAGTATTTTCAGATTCAGAAGCAGATATTTGACTCAAATTCCTCTCCCCCCCCATTTTTAAAAAAGAATTATTTTATTTAACTTTATTTTTTTATTTTAATTTGACCAGACAGGGACAGAGTGAGAGGGAAAGTGAGAAAGCAAGCTACTAGGTCAGGGACTCGAACCACGGTTTGCCACATGGGAGTTCAGTGCCCTTAACCACCATGCTACCTACCGGCCCCACTCCTCCACTTCTTATGAAACCATTTGCAGAGCTCTCACTTGGGCATAGAAAACCATGTACTTAACAGCCATGAAGCAATAGAAAGCCGATTTCCTCATTTATAAAACGGGGATGATGAAACCGCTTACTCGATAGGGTTGCTGTGAAGATGCAATGAATCAATATGTATGTAAAGTGCTTAGAACCTGCCTGGCACTTGGTGAGTATTTGACAGTACTGGCTGTTATTATGGCTATTTTAATTTGGACAAAGCAGCGTTTGGATCCAGAAAAGCAGGGCTCAACTTCCAGCTTCATAATCCAATCTCTAATCCACGTGCGCAGGCCCCACCCTCTCTGGCTGTCAGTGGTTCATCCGATGGACTCTCCGCCCGCCTCTGACCACACAGGGTGGGAGTGGGCACCACTTGGTCAGTCCTAGGCGACTGCTGGCCTGTTACTCAGGTTGACCCGACAGTCCTTCTTGTCCACAGCGGAGGCGGGACGTGGTGACAGAGACCAAGATCGTCGAGCTGGTGATTGTGGCTGATCACGCAGAGGTGAGCCTGGGGCCCCTGTGTGTCCTCCCCCGCCCCTGCCACTCTGCCACCTTCATGGTCACCTGCGTTGGTCCGCAGGTCCAGAGGTACCCGGACTTCCAGAGCCTGCTGAA